TTGTCCGTATTTTTAGGAAATGAAAAACTGCTACAATATCGTTAGAATAAGAAGGTAAATTTTGACAGTTTATTAATGATTATAAATAGCTTAATTGGTATATTGGGCGGTCACATAATCGTAATATCAATGGTGCGAGCCCAGACCGGCCGACCGACAATTTTTTTTCAAGTTCCTTTCTTTTTTTGAGAAAATCTATTTTTTCGAAGCCTTTTTTTAGTATTTTTTAAAACACGAAAATTTAAATTAAACTTATTGCACTCATGATTTTTTATTCAAATAACCAGTTCAGTTTTTTCTATTATGTCGCTAAGATCAAAAAATATTATTCGTATTTCATCAGTATGTAATTTGTATCTAAATATAATTTCCAAAACACACGAATTAAAAAAAAAACGAGCGAAAAATACCGACCGCACTATATTTCTAAATACATAAATATTATAGATAAATTACACCCAGACACAGAACAAGTGATCGTGCTCATCACACAAACATTTATCCTGGGTGGGAATCGGACCCACGACCTCCGGCATAGCAGTCAGGGTCACTAACCATTAGACCAACAGGCCTGTCAAACTATGTACTTAGTTACCTATAAAAATTATACATATTTCTTGTTTGAAAGGTCAACGATTAGACAGACAGACTGACAGATTAAAACTTAAAAAATGGCTATTCATGTCTTAATGTCATTTAAATAATCCCTCAACTCAAAAAAAAACAGGTATTTTGATATTACAGACACATCAACTTTATTTATGTGTGTAAATTTCATATATCCTGTTTATTGATGTGTGTATATTTAGTTAGACAATTCCGTTTGCTAATGTCGTAAAGTCCTTATCTATAACTCCTAAATAGTATATATTGGATAACCTTTTTCACTGTCTGGAAAAAATAGGTTCTAACATGTGAACGGAGTAGAGGCATATGTCACTGATATTTTACAAAAAATAAAAATAATCATTTTGAATTAAACGTTTGAAATATTTTTTGAATAATTACTTTGCCCTTGAGCCTGTGATCCTGCGAAGTGACAAGTTCAAATATGCCTACTAAATAGGGGCCTGAGCTCAGCAGTGATGCCGTACCCTCTCAGAAGTGAGTTTCTGATAGGGGCTTAGGGCAAAGATGTGTCCGCCACGCTGCCCCAATGCATGTAGGCGAATTTTACATGTCTTAGAAATATTTTTTGGACACGTAGGTTTTCTCACGTTGTTTTTCTTCACCGCCGAGCACGTGGTAAGTCAGCACTTAAAATTACAATTATCATATTCATTGGTTACGGAGGGGTGGGTCGGGGGGATCGAACCCGAGTTTCTCAAGTACTGTGAAATTTCCGACGAGCCCTGAGCACAATTCAAGCAGAACGAGTGATTAACGAAGGTAATTAACAATAATAATATGTTATCAACACGTATACAACTTAACATTATAGATAATCAAATCAGAAGTTAATGGTCAATTAACCATAGATTACCGCTACTTTGGGTTACTCCAAAGTGGATTAGCTCATTTATATTAATCAATTTAACGTCAAAGGTGTAGTTATATACCTAATCGATGGATATTGGCAGATTGATCGTTTCTTTTGAAAAACCAAAAAAATTATTGCGTTATCGTGAAACTTCGACTCGATAAATCAGTGTTGAGTAAGACTGCCCTGGTTTACCTCGCGTGGTGTTTCACAGACATCATAATCACCATAAATATTCCAGTGGAGTGGAATATTTTAACTGGTGGAACATGATTTCATATGGCGGTGCTGATACTATCTTTGTCTTGCTAATCCTCTTCATAAGGATGATCAAAATAGTAATTACACGTGCTAGAGCCACGCTGCAGCTGTATTTTGGTTGGTCGACTCGACCGAGGTAGGCTCACGCTCCCACAAAATACCAGCGTAAAATAGCAGCTTAATGTAGCTGTGTTACTTATAGTGAGTGTTGAGAACAGGAGATCGTTTTTACTTGAAATTATGAAATCCATCTTAGTGTTCAGGGATGACAACGCATCTGCCTTTTGATTCCTAATAACAGATGGCACTTCACAGCATACCAAGGGATGCCGCGGTACGTCACTGCATTCCATGAGATGCCATGTCTTACCGTGTGTTATTAAAGGAGTGTGAGTGTTAAGTAATTGAATCAAGGTTGAATCCAGCACGTTGCGGTGGCTATTTCAGTCACTCGGGTAAGCACCCGATAAACGAGCGCATCTTGACTTGTTTGGCATGCCGCGGGATGCCACAGGATCCGAAGTATGCCTTACCACACCATACAATGCTATGACATCTGTTAGCGCAGGCCCAGTTAAGAGCGCGTTCGATGTTATGCGGTTAACCGCAAACCGCTCCGGTCGCTCGGATGGTACAGCTCGAATGACGGCCAGCCGGACGGCTGCTATTCGCACTGTGCGGCTCAGTTTACGGCTGCCGGCATTGAGTGAGATTGTGTGTCTTCCTTCGTTGTAAATGTTTTTAAAAAGTTTCATCATTCTTCAAACGTGTTTATGCTTATCCTAATGAATCCGAAATACTTAAGTTCATATCTTTTTAATTCTAAAAAAATTTTTCAAAATGCTTGCTTTTATCTCGAGTTTGCAAATAAGGATGCAACTGGTACTTCGTTCTTTGTTTTTTCTTATTTTCATCTTTGTAATGAATCAATGTGACCTCAAATCGTAACGGTACTTCAACCACATGTGTGCGGTCAGCCGAACAGCTAGCTACATTGCGGTAGCCCGCGTACTGCGTATGAGTCCATATGCGTGTTGTTTCGAATTCGAATTTATTTTATTTTACGAATTTACCACTTATTAACAAATAATGTACGTGAATATGTTTCATAAATTGTTCAATCGACCAGATTTTTTTCATATAAATGTTCGAAATACCCCCCCCCCCCCTTATGATAATTTAAAGGTCATGACAAAACACTATTACGGACGAAACAAATTTACGTTTTAACATTTTTGGAGAAATTTACGTTTTATCATTTATGGAATCTGTAAAGTATCCAAAAATCCGTAATATTATATTATTTTATAAACGCCCATTCCTTGAATACATTCATACTCTCATGCTATCTGTTATATGGTCATCGTAAAGTCGATTATAGTAAACGTCTATAAGTTTTTATGGCTGTATATGGATGTACGTTTAAAATACTAAAACTAATGACAAGAGTATTCGATGGATGTAGATGAAGATGGATTTTACTAAAATCGTCGAAACAGTTGACGTAACGAATCGCATGTTATTGAGATCGTCAATCTGTTTGTGTAACGTGCTTATCGAATCCTCAGTTCCACTCGACTTCGACGACTCACACAGTATTACAAACACAAATAGGACTAGGAAGTGACAAGAAAAAGTGCGCTAGGCCTTACAAGCTTAGTGGGCAGCACGGAAGCGGTAAAGTAGGTTAATAGCAGCTGAGATAGGAGCCGAAAAGCCCTCTCTCACTCTGTCGGAAGCACTGGACTGAAATTCTTTTGCCCAAACTCCCGGTTTTGAAGACGACAAAACGTAGGCGTTCTGATGGGTTATTCAAAGAAGAAATCATCAAGAAATCTGGCCACGTGGCAACGGGAGAGAAGAAGGTCAGTTTTAGTGGTGAAGCTGGTTTCGCGCGTGTAGGAATTGGCAATTCGAATCCTATGAGCGTGGAGCAGATGCAGCTGCTCCCGGGCAGCTAGGCACTAACACAGGCTATTGCTAAGATAACCTATGGGGCGCAGCCTGGAGCAAAATTTTCGGGTTTCACCTAAAACCCTTGTTGGATTCTGTTAACGTGTCTGAATATCAAGCAAACCAGGACTGGATTGTGGGTAAAGTCGGAAAACTGAAACTTTGACCGAAGCCAGAGCTCTCAATAATACCTGAGGGCAAACTGCCTAAGCCTCAGCTGAATATCACATATCTGACCCGCAGCGAAGTGGACTTTTAAGAAGAGGCGGCTATGCTGTTGAGAACACAAAATGAAGGGCTCCATACAGAATCCTGGAAAAAGCCTTAACCGCAGGGACGAGGGGAATAGGTTCTTGGTAACCTCTTTTCTAGACGAATTATCGGCGGAGGCTCACGGGTGGCAGGAGGCCGAGTCATCCTTGGTTTTAATATCGGGTGCTTCACTGACGTGGTAATGGAGCCTAAACCACCCCAACTTAAATTACCTCAGCCCTTAACACTTCGCGGAGTGAGCCTGAACCGTCATCAGTGAGAGTGACTGAAACCCAAGTTGCTGATTTCGCCTCGGGTTGAAGGCCTCCACTAGTGTCTTCCAGGGGTAAGGGAACGGAAGGCAGGAGAGGCAGAGGGAAAGAATGTAGTGGGGGTCAAGAGCGCCAGTAAAGGACGCTTTCGTCCTCAGCAACCAAAAACAACTGCTGCCTCCCACACCTATAAATGAATAACCCTAAGGGTAGGACGAGGGTCGAAAATTTTGGTGGGCTGTGATGCTAATGCTCAGCAGTTAATTAGTAAATGCTATTATATATATATATATATATATATATATATATATATATATATATATATATATATATATACAATTGACCAAAAGCTAACGTGGAGCTCTCACCTAAGCAATGTATGTCATCAAGCTACTGTAGGTACGCGCAGTTGTATGGTTGTAAACGACTGGGGCTTGCGTCTCAACATGACGCTTTGTACAGCAGCATAGAATGGCCGATTCTTACCTATGCCTCCATGGTCTGGTGACTGGCCAACCAAAAAGCGACTGCGCACAGACTAAATAGTCTTCAAATAACTGCCTGTTGAAGTAATGCGATCATCACTTAAAGCGGCTTTTAATGCACTTCTATGCCTAACGCCCCATAATCTTTATTTAAGCAAGGAGGCCAGGGCTAGTTTGTATAGTATTAACGCTCAAGATGCGCTTAAGATCCATGCTGGACTCAACTAAGGAAACTACGGTCTTATGAACTATATAAATACAGTTATTAACATTTAAAAGAAAAAGTTTCTAATTTACCTTGCTACTGCTGGATAGCATTCGTGATTGAACAAAGCGCCAGTAGGATATATACCGACTGCAGTGTACACAGGCTTTGATCCAACGAACATGTGTTGACCACGGACTGTCTCGTAGATTTCATGAGCGTTAAACTGTAGAAGCTGTAGGTTGCAAACTATAAGTTCGCATATTGATTGTTCAGCTAGAAAATATTAACGAAATTTTAAGTTTAAATATTTATTTCATAGGTATCAAATGTTGTGCTGTACATGGACCTGAATATTGTAATTTGACAGAGTTATAAATAGTTGATCCCATCATATGTAAATTCACTATTCCATATTATCTCGTCCACCTCGCCCATGACGTAAGAGGCAACAGAGGAAAATCGAAACAGACGCAGTGAGTATAAGTGTCTTCTTAATATCAACAAGAAGAAATAAATTACAGTTACCAACCCGCTTGCCAAGCGTGGTAACTATGGTAAATATCCCCATTATTATGCAATCTCTGGGGTGGTCCTAGTTCAGCAGTGGACTTTGATAGGCTGTAATAATGACGATGATGCTGATGACGATGATAAATAAGTAATGCACATTGAACATCACTAATCATGTCAGGTTGACGAAGGTTACTATCGAATACTTTCGGCAAGCGCATTATAACTGCCATAGATATATTTTCTAACACCTTATGAAAACATTTTGAAATTATCACAATAGAACGTTAAACACTACACGATAATGATTTTCACGATCAATGATTAACAAATAACTGCTCTACTAACTGTCCTATTGTAGAAATTATTTACTATAATCTCCAGACTTGGCAGACGAGTTTACGATCAAAGTATCTAATGACTTACATCTTTCACGTTGCTCCTCATCGCTCATCTGGGTATTTCACATCTGACATATTATACGAGAAGACAGTACTTTTCTTGTATGTGTATCCTAATTTTCTATTAATAAGACTGTTTACGAAGTCGTTAAGAATGCTAAGAGTTTGGGCAAAAAGATGGTATACTAACGAGATCCCTATGTCAATACAACTTATATCTTCCCGTTTACCCTCTGTCTTACCTTTTTGTAATTTTGTTTCCTCGCAGTTTTTGAAGTAATCAGTTCTTTTTAAACATTCCGTAAGAAACATCGCCATCACGATTCTTTTTAGATAATCATCCCCTTTTCTTTGCCTTGAATGCGTGCATAGTGAGTATACTTGGGCTGCTCTTAGTAGTAATTGTTCATTATAATTGAGTTTTTCGTCCGGCTTAGAGTCATTTTCTTGGTCTCTGGTGTTGTTGTCGTTTAATGTATTGAGACCCTTCCTGGATCGATTTAGTCTTTCTTTTCTGCTTTTCAGTTTTGATTTCTTTGGCATTCCTTCAATGTCATTTAGAGCTACACTTTCAACTGTTTTGACGTCATTGAATAAATGTTTTGAATGAATTGTAAGACTTGTATCTAGTCCAGCTTGAGTGACCATACGCAGAGCAATATGACTTAGCACCGACATGCCAGATCCTTTAACAAAGAAAATAAAAATGGAAAAGAGTTTTCGTATTGCTTTAAATTAATCATATTTTAATGAAATAGTGTATTCATTGCATAACTAACACATTTGAATTATTTATAAATCCATAAGAAATATTTAAAAAATTCTCACCAATGAATAAACCTAAGAAAGGACATTCGTAAGTATGGTAAGTGGAAACGGCTGTATCTCTACATTTTACACTACAGAAAGCAACTCCTGAACATTTTGGGCACCAAACGGGTGCACGATCTTCACAATCATCTAGCCTGCAAGAGCGAAAGAAGATTAAGATATGGACCCCAAAAATATTTTGACGTAGAAATAAATTATATTATATTATATACTCGACCTTTTGAAACAATGTAGACAATGTGTACCATAAAAATCATTTAATAGACAAGCTGCGTAGGGGCTGTCTATCAGAAGAACATCTCCAGTTTTAACTGCTGAATTTGCCACAGCAAATCGACCCTGTAATTGTGAATTTTGAACATATGAAAAATAAGTTATTTTATTTTTAATATTTGGTCTCTTAAATTTCACACAAATTGTACCTTTGTTTCATCCTCGGTGATTTTAAGTAGCTTTGATAGGGACGGCATAGCTAGTTTAGCTCCACTAGATAGAGATATACCTAGCAAAGGAAAAATAACTTGAGAACTGAATACATGTTATTGCAAAGTATCCAGGCGCTATTTTATATTACATTAATAGCGTCTGCTGCGTTACGCGGGATCCGTCGCGGGAATACGCAGAACGTACCCCCGCGCGCGATCGTCGCACTCACCCTGAGCTTACTGGTTAACGCAATGCCGCTAGTACTAAAAAGAAAAGCCGGACAGAACAGCGAGCTTAGCCGGACATTTTGGTAAAAAGGCCAGACACCTCTAATTTTTTAATCTTAGTAAAATGACGTTTTTGAAATTAAAACAATGCTTTTTATCATTTACCATAAAATGTTCTTAAATTTTAATGAAATAGCAACAATTGAATAAATCAGTCTTCTTTATTATTAATTACAATATTAATTTCAATAATTGCTTCATCATCATCATTACAGCCCTTCACAAGTCCACTGCTGAACATAGGCCTATGCCGTGTAGTGGCGGATGAAAATATCCACTACCCCATATCTTCCCGTGGGTGTCGTAAAAGGCGACAGAGGGAGACAGGCAGGAGATGGGCAGCAGCGTCTTCCTGATAACAACTGTGTTATAATAAAAAACTGCGGTTGCCAACCCGCTCGCCAAGCGTAGCAACTATGGCAAATATTCCCCAATAATTGCTTATTATATTGAAATTAATAAAATAAGTACATGAAAAATGTAAAGAAATGGTCAAATTTAAAAAATCTATTGGCCGGACACGCAACCAAAAAACCTGACTATGTCCCGCTTTATCCGAGTATATATATATCCGAATGGCAACGCTATTCGAGTGTATAATCGTGCCGTAAAGATTCATCTATTAAGGGGAAATATAACCTCAAATTGATTAGATCCTCCGTTATGCCAAAAATATTGCAGCTTTAAATTTGAAATAAATATATGCTAATGTTGAGCATTAATGTTAAAGACTCTGTTAGACGAAAACACGATTCCATAAAATTTTCTCGATAGAAAAAAAATCCAAATTTACCTCCAAACTGAACAACAAACCGCTGTTATTCATAAAATGCTTTAAATAAGATCATGAAACTTTGCATACTAACTGAACTAACTATAAAGCAGTGCTTATGTTATTTACTTTTTTTTAAATACCATTATTTTCACTGTAAAAAGAAATTACCTAAACTCTCTAACCTACCTAACTATCGGCGTCTTGAAGCTTGATTCCTGATCCTGTCGCCCGGTTAGTACCACTTTGGCTTTTGAAGGGGGAAGTTGTGTCGCTTACGATCAGAATACACATTACGCAACAGGACGACGTAAAATTAAAATGGGAAATAACCGTAATAAAAATAAGAAGCGACTGGGTTGACATTAAGAAACAGGCATAAATATGATAAACCTAATGAAATAAGTATCTAACGACCTATCTTCTTACATTATTAGTGATTACAAACATGTCGGTACATAGCATACGACGCGCGGGGAAGTAGGGGCGAAATTAAAATTTGAGCTGACTTACTATATTCCCTTAATTTATCATTTCCCAGTATCTCCGTCGTTAAAATTTGTTTGCCATGTCACATATTAGTCCCATATTTCAAAGTGCCTTCAAAGCTTGTAATAACTTAGTAAATAAAATAAAAAACATATTAATAATAAACTTAGCATCTACTTTCCATTCGTTGCGAACATAGCCATTTAACGCGAAGTAACCGCTACGAAATCTGAATTACGAAAAAAATACCAATTCCATAAAAGCAGATATGCACGTCAGAAATGAATGACTGTGATCTGATATTAAGCTAATTGTAATTTCAACTTGCGTGTAGCCCACCTCGTGCAGCGAGTGTGCGTGTGCGGGATCTCGCATGAGTTACACACCACCACCGCGTGTAGCAGATAGTTCGTACGACTTAGCGTTGCTTTTGAATTTTATAGACACAGACACGCGCGCTTGTTCTCACGCTAGTCCCGTTTAACGCAACAGACGTTCTAATGCTTCGGGCGCACCTGTATGTATCGTACCGATGTAATGCGTGCCGAAGCTTCCTACGATTTGACACTAAAAAGTTATCGCGATAAAAGCTGTGGTCATATTAGCGGCTCCGATATTCTGCATGAACTATCGTGCAATAATCCAAGATGGCCGAAATCATTTTCAAACGTTTAACTATGGATGATGAATTTGTTTACTCCTACATGTATGCTAACAATTACATAATGCATTGATTAAAACTACTTTTACGGATTTTATCGCGTTTTATTTATATTAATTTTAATACCCGACGTTTCGGGTGCTTTCCAGCACCCATGGTCACGGGGGACTGAGATGACTGACGTCCCGATGTCAAAGTTAACCCGGAGTACCTTCAGCTTTTTAATTATTGTCTTTGGTCCGATCTACGCAGAATGAACTAACTGTATTTTGAAGTCTTGCAGTGGTATGCTTGGGTTTAGTTTTAATTTTATTAATTATAGGATCCCAAGCAGATGGTAGTACCCAGCCTCCTTCTCTATTGAAATTAGGATGTTTTTTAATTTCAATAGCCTATAGACTATTGAAATTAAAAAACATCCTATAATAGGATCCTATAATTAATAAAATTAAAACTAAACCCAAGCATACCACTGCAAGACTTCAAAATACAGTTAGTTCATTCTGCGTAGATCGGACCAAAGACAATAATTAAAAAGCTGAAGGTACTCCGGGTTAACTTTGACATCGGGACGTCAGTCACCCCAGTCCCCCGTGACCATGGGTGCTGGAAAGCACCCGAAAGGTCGGGTATTAAAATTAATATAAATAAAACGCGATAAAATCCGTAAAAGTAGTTTTAATCAATGTATAGTGTTAGCGTAAATATAAGAAATCATTACATAATGCATTTATTAAAATCTAAAAATAAGGAACCTAAAATCTAAAAAAAGGTATTTCAGTACTATTTCATCACTCTACTCCATTTTTACACAGCCACCTGCATGCGTCTGAACTGATCGAAAACAAAGGCCGAAATGAACAACGCTAGTGTGACCAGACAGCGAGATATGTTGTTGCGCTAAAACCCTTTAATGTAAAGCCACCCGCGCGATAACACCCGCAAACGCACACGCGTCCGAATGTTCGCGACGATAGCCGATAATAGCCGGTCACATCTGCGCGTATCGTATCGCCACAGTCTATAAACTCCATGTTATTATATGTATGTTTTTATTATACTGTGGTATCGCTTTGTGGCGATAGATGCAGATGCGGCCCTAGCATAACAGTAAAATGCCTAAGCAAATTTATTGTTGACTAGCTGTGCCTCGCGGTTTCACCCGTGTCTATCACGTGTCTGAGCCACGCGACATGACAACTCGTCTAAAGTTAAAGTTATAATAGGCCCAAAAGTGTCTGGCCTAAACTTGTTACTGTTGTGTTTGCGTTCATTAAAATTCACCACTAAAATTCCTTTGGAATCCAAAACGATTGCAGCCATAATCTTTTTCTGAGATTGAGTCACCTTTTTGGTCGCATTGAGCTTGGATGACACCACCGATTCGATTCTTTTTTTGATAGCGGATCATGATAAAGAACCATGGTTTTATCTTAATCTAGTAGGCCAGCAACTTTAGGACCTTACTTAATACGTTCCATGGCTGGACACAGGCGTCCTTTTTCTGAGGGACAGTTTCGGGTTTTAAGGCAAAGAATTATCCGCTACGCTGCCCCAATGCGTCTGCATGCAGAGTCCAACCGTCTTTTCTTGGTGAAGATTTCCTCACGTTGTTTTCCTTCACGTCATTCGTGTGCTGAGCCGAGTGTTGAATTATGATAATTTTTTATTATATCTTAAACTACGCATCCAAATAAAATTATCGCCATAAAATTTCTTGAAGAAGTAGTAACTTTCGTTCGTAAAGATTAATATACGACGCTTAATACTAATAAATCACTTTTAATTCTCAATATTTTTGTCACAAAATACCTTATTGTGTCTTATGTATAGGAGATAGGCATATGGTGCTGCAGAATTTTTTATAGATATAGTAAAGGTCTATAATTTTGTAGAACATTGTAAGTAGCTAGCGCATGCGGATCAGTTCAGCGGTGCTTTTCCTTCTGTCTTGCTTAACGAAAATCAATATTTTAGGTTGGCTGTGAGAAGTAGCCCAGTGTTAGATAGCCTACATTATTCCTCATGAATCTGGCTGTTACATCAAAATCAGTAAAGAATTTTCTAAATCGGATTTTTTTTTGAAATTACATTTAGATACAAATTAGATACTGATGATATATATATATATATATATATATATATATATATATATATATATATATAATATATATTTGATCTTATTGACATAATAGAAAAAACTGAACTGGTTATTTGAATAAAAAATCATGAGTGTAATTAGTTTAATTAAAATTTTCGTATTTTTAAAAAATACTAAAAAAGGGCTTGAAATAATAGATTTTCTCACAAAAAGAAGAGAACTTGAAAAAAAAAAGGATATCCGCTTGAGCTATTACGATCATTAACAAAGTTTTCAAAATTTACCTTCTTATATTGTAGCGGTTTTTTACTGCCTGAAAACACGGACAAAAAGACATTTTCTAAAAATAAATCCTACCTAGATCGATTTATTGCCCCATGACCGCACCCCCTGGACGCAAAATTTATGAAAATCGTTGGTGCCGATTTCGAGATTCCGATTATATATATAGATACATATATATACAAGAATTGCTCGTTTAAAATTATAGGATATTAGTATAGATTTAGATAAAAATAAAAATCATAAATTATAAATCGCTCCTCGTCGTTAGAAGTTCGACGTACGCGCTCAAAAATATGCTTAGAATAGTTTTTGTCTAAGAATTTACCTTTAATTTTATAGTAATTTTATTTCGTTAACTACCTTTGTACTTTAATTTATTACCTGGTTTGTCTGGAGGATGTCTTGGCAGCACGGAGTAATCAAGAGAGTCTATATCTTTCTGTAACTGGTCTTTGGATTTTTCGTCGTTCCCTAATAGCCTGCCTGCTAATTCATAGGAGACTTTGGCTCTTGTTGGTTCTTGCGCACCTTCAATACATAAAAAGTAGTAACTACCTTTTGCAACTGAGATATTCAAAACGCAAATCGTGTGATAAGTAATTAAAAAAAAGATACATCAAACATGCGTCGATTTTACACAGAATATATATATATATAAAAAAAAAATATATATATATTCATCCTTTCACGGTAAATGTTGATCCAGTGAGAAGTTTGAACAATTGTTGATCCACCTTTTTGACGTGTTTGCTCAGCTCCTCGTCGCACAAAGTCCGGAGCCATAATTGACGAATAGGTACTCGAACACGAAGCGGCAACGTCGCGTTCTCTGTGTGACTCACTGTCCCTTATTACTATAACGAAGTACCCAGTAGGCTACTTCGTTATAGTAATAAGGTAAGAAAATACGTTATCTGCTGATTTTGTGGATAAAACTTCGGCAGGTTTTATTGTGGAAAGACGTTTGTTTGTTCGAGTTTTTGTTATCGTGTGAGTAAATTTGTGTTATTTTATTCATTTGTCATAGATCAATTAGAAGATGATGGATGATAGTACTTTATTACAAATTGTAATTGTGTGTGTGTGTGTGTGTGTGTGTGTGTGTGTGTGTGTGTGTGTGTGTGTGTGTGTGTGTAAAGGTGGGGGGTGCCATTTAGTGCGCGCGTGCGTTTTTGTGTGTGTACTTGTGTGTGTGTGTTTTTATGCGAGTTTGTGTGTGCGCGTGCGTGTGGGTGTATGTGCGTTGTGGTGTGTTCGTGTGAACGCATGTGCGTGCGCGTGTGTGTGTTAGTGTATGTGTGCGTGTGTGCACTGTTGTGTTTTTTAGTACGTGTGTGTGTTAGTATGTGTGCGAGCGTGCGTGTGCGCGCGCGTTTGTGTGTGCTTTTGTGTGTGGGTATGAGTGCGTGCGTGTGTGGGTTCGTGTCTCATCTGTTGTTTTGTGTTTGTGTGTGTGTGTGTGAGTGTGTGTGTGTATGTGCTTGTGCGTGTATGTGTGTTCGTTCGTGCGCGCGCGTGTGTCTGAGTGTAAGTGCGGGAGTGTGTGTGTGTGTGCAAGCGCACGAGCGTATGTATATGTGTGTGCGCGCGCGCGAGTGTATGTATGTGTGCGCACGCGTGTGTTTGTATGTGTGTGTTTGTGTCTGTGTTTATGTGTGCGTGTGTGTGTGTGGGGGGGGTGTAGGTGTGCGTGTGTGTGTGTGCGCGTGTGTTTATGTGAGTGCGCGTAGCGCGCGTGTGTGTATGCGCGTGCATGTGCGTGTGTGCAAGTGTGTGCGTGCGTGTGTGTTCGTCTGAGTGCGTGTTTATGTTTGTATGTGCGCAGAAAACTGTGGCGGAGAATGGAGACGTGGTTGAGGCGGAGGTGAATGCAGCGTAGTTTGTGGTGAAGGCGGAGGAAATAAATTTGTGATGAATTCGGAGATAGTGGAAACGGGGAGAGCGGGGTCAGAAGTGGGTCAAACTTAGATTATGTTGAAGGCGGAAAGAATAGTGACGGCGCGTGTTGGTGGCGGCGGAGGGAGCAGAATTTATTGTTGAGGCGGAGGGAGCAGAGTTTATGGTGGAGGCGGAGGTGGAGAACGAAGGCTTAGAGAGGGGTGCGGAGGTAGATGTGGAGGCGTAGGTGGCAGAGGTGGTGGTGGGTGCACTGGAGCGCAGTAAAGTGGGTACCGCGTGAGGGCAAGTGAGGCTCATACAAAGGACAGTTGGTTACAGCGAAAAACAGTGTAGCTGGTAAGAGGATATCGATACTGCCCCTAAAGATGTTCAGCCCCTACGAGGTTATTCATTTTTCCGAATATCAGCTTAGATACCTATTGGTACTAGAGACAAAGTGAAAAGAACTTTTGTTTTATTACGGTTTCAACATAACTAACAAAACAAACCCAAACTCGGCATACCTAGTTCTACTAGTCCAGGTGTTACAATGTTAGTTAGCGAAGTACACCTTCAGGTCACTTCAGCAAGTCCGGAGGTAAGGACTCATCATAACTAAAAAAGGAGCCCAAACTCAGCACACCCAGTTCTACTAGTCCAGGAGTTCCACTAGTAATCCCGAATTACATTTTGAGGTCACTCCATCAAGACCGGAGGTAAGGTCTCATGATAATATCTCATGTAATAGTTCGATTCTATACCTATCAATTTTGTAAACGCGTCCTTAAAAATCTTGATTATGAAGATGTAGAAAACATGTTAACTGGTTTATGGTAAACACACACACACACACACACACACACACACACACACACACACACACACACACACACACAGAGACACAAACACGCAAGCGCGCGCAATCATGCACACATGCGCACACGCACAAACGCATACACACACTCACACACGCACACTGCCGCACACACACGCACACACACAAACACAACAGTGCACACATGCACACACGCACACCCATTCACACACACACACACACACACACACACACACACACACGTACACATACGCACACTGCCGCATACACACGTACTCAAAAAACACAACAGTGCACACACGTACACATCACACACACACACACATACACACACTCATACACATACACACACGCACGCGCATACGTTCACACGAACACACATGAATGCACATACACCCACACGCACGCGCACACCCATGTGCGCAAGCACACACACACTAACGCACGCACACGCACGCAAATACGCACTCAGACGAATACATTATGTCGCCGTTGCCACCACTTCCGCTACAAGAAGGGGCGTTGTCGAGTCGTTTATTTCGACCACAAGGATCATAGATGTTAGTAATAATACAAATCTTAAAACTAATTTTAGTAAAACTTAAAACTATTTAAGACAGGCCTGATTAGTCAGCACGTGCACCATATGACAATGGCTCAGGTACTGACCTCAAACCTGTCAGAAAATGCCCTCAGGATACCATTGGAGCTGGCCCGCACTCTGCGCACCAGGGATGTGCATCGTTTACGCATGGTGGTGTAGAAACAATCCATACGCGCATCCGCGAACTTACCCGGCGCATTACAAAACGAGGCAGACCCAACAGCCCCTGAATGCATTATTGTATTGAACACGCATTTAATCTGTAGCTTGTACCGCCAAAGATACGAAACGGCAACGTCGCGGCTGCATTCAGCCAATCCGATCGTTTATCTTATCGTTTGCTGTGCTCTGATTGGCTCATTTAAATCGAAACATTCCTACAAAGTCTCCATCCTCTGATCAACATTTACCGTAAAGATCTCTCTCTCTCTCTCTCTCTCTCTCTCTCTCTCCCTATATATATATATATATATATATATATATATATATATATATATATATCATTTTTGTTATTTTACTAATAATACCTTTGTAACAGTGACCCATTCGCCAATAGTATTGAGCACGCATTCGAGCCGGTAGGCGTTCCTTTTAGGCTAATTTCAAATCTTCAAGGGCGGCTTGAAACTTATTTAAACGTAAAAGTACTTCAGAGCGTAACCAAAGTGCTAGTGCTAGGGATACTCCTCGGTCTGCCACTTCATCAATTCCTGAAATACAAGTAACATTTAAGAAAATATTTATGACAAAATTATATTTATTCTAAACCTAATGCTACGAACAAATAATTCTGTCATTTTCGGCGCGGGGGAAGAAACACTACATAGACAGTACTGCACATCTAGTTAATAAAATTTTATGTCATTATTGCACACACAAATCTAAATCTCCAACACTATTACATTTTACGCACACATGTTAAGTTAAATACATCAACATAGAAAAAGTTACGAGTGTAAGATGGACAAGTTAATTGCGACGCTACCATATCGATATATTATATCGACAGTTTCCCTAAGAAAAAGAGACTGTAAGGTGTATACAGTATATAAGATGAATGAGTGCAGATGGGATGCAAGGGAAAGTTAGTGTACGAAACAAACCCAATGAAAGTCGATCTAACACTGAATTTATTGTAAAGAATTATAAATTGATGTATAGGCAAAAGTACGGAAGTTACATGATTTCGAAAGTGACAAATGCATTGTTTCTGCGTGACCGAAATAAACGAGTCATTGAATTAAAATTACATAAAATATGTGCGGTAACCCGTACATTCTGCCGGCCCAAAAGAGGGAAAACTATAAACACAAAGGTACTAAGAATGTAAAAAAAAATAATAATATGATAACAATTCAAAGTACAAAAATAAAATCGTAAAATAATATAAACGAATTCCTTAAATTATCACTGCACTACACTTGTGATGGAATGTCCAGTCGCACGGATCGCGGTCTCGTCCTCGGCGCAGGTTCCTGATCTCCGCTCGTGACTGCCGCCATAGGAATGGAGATTACGGGAGTGTTTGCCGTCATGTTCAGTGCTCTCTTGGTTCTGCGACATCGTATAATGATGTAAATGGATGCCGCTAGTATGATCAATCCCAGTATTGTGTACATAACTGAATATTGATGTATGTCATGTACGCTGAGTGGTGCGCTTTTTTGTTCTTTGAGGTTTGTAATCTGAGCCTTCTTGCGAAGTTCTCTCTTCACTGTGCGGAGCCCACTGAGAATCCAGTAGTTTTCTCGGGTGTGAGACAAAGTCAAGCTAGGTCCACCGTGTAGTGTGGTGGAGTGAGCCTTCTGTATGATGAGCTCAGTGAGTTTGCCATGACTTGGTAGTATTGTGGGATGCTTTGCTGATTGACTAAGCAATGAGTTGTTCAATCGTCCACCAGCTTTCAGCAATCCATCACTAGGGTCAATGTATGGATTGAGGCTCAGCAGCTTACTGGATCTTCTCAACTTTTCTTGTTTTTGAAGTTGTTGAATGTCATCTTCAAATTCTATAGATTGTACAGTTTTGATAACTAAATTCAGAGCGTGTTGCTTTTCAGTTGACGATAGGTAGTTTTGCCGAGGTATTTGTTTGTTTCGCAACCAATGTGTGAAACGTGATAGCCAGCCGATTGTTGTTACGATGCGCCGCGTCGAGCTGCATTCATGTAATAATTGTAAAATAAAATCATTTTTGTGAGATAAGGCTGCGTACACACTAGTTTTCTTGGTTTCTAATTCTGGTGGTTGGTATATTTCATTTTTGATCATGTTGGGATCAAATGCCAACAACCACTGCGGGCCCTGCCACCACAGTTGATGTTCTAATAACTGCTGTGTCGACAGTCCTCTTGTAGCACAATCCGCAGGGTTATCTTCAGATCGAACATGGTGCCAAGATGATGATGGAATGATGTTTGTCGTAGTGGAGTCAGTTTTCAGTACACCGTGATGTGGAAAATAATGTACTAAAGCACTGTGTTGTGAAACCGGAGACATATGACCTTGTTGCTCGTATTCTCGCATAAAATGTTTGTAACTTTCTGCGAATGATTCATTTTTGGACATCTTATTTTCCAAATTATAGAACTGTGCGATCGCCTTTGACTTTGATTCACCTAGATCTTGTTCGAATCCAGGCTTCATGGGAAGAGCAACCTCGTATCTTCCGTCAGGTAGGCGTCTTGTCGTAGATTGATAGAATTGCTCACAGTACTGTTCATCAGGTGTCAATTCAGCAGCTGAGTTACTGATTTCTTCGAGCTCCCAGTATTGAGAAATTTCTGATAGATCGGTTATCACAACGTGACACTTAAACGTTTTCACGTTACCCGAGAGGATCCAGCCCAATCTCGTCTGTTGAGCTATTGGAACCATGTTAGGACCTTTGATCAGGCCGCTCATGATGATCTCGGAGTATATGCTTGCGTCTAGTAGCAGATCAATAGGCCTAGAGATGTTGTACTCGGGATCAGCTAACTGTATGTGCTGCAAGTGTGGCCAGGACTCCTTACTGAACGACATGTTTGGCAGATTGTTGATGATGTGATTGATGACTAATGCTTGAGTTGTAAACTCAGAGTCTTGGTAGATAGACTGACATTCGAGGGTGACGACTCCCTTGCCGTACTTTGATCCATTTCCAATGCCAGATACAGAAGCGTGGTACCGTTGTCGAGGCAAGCCCAGCATTTGAGCGGCGTTCTCAGAAATGAGTGAAATCTGAGAGCCTTGGTCTAAAGGACATCTCAAAGTGATGTAAGTCCCGTCAGAAGCTTTGACCCTGACAGATAATGTTGTCAACAGGATCTCTTCGTCATCTGTAGCAAAGTGATTCACGCAATGTTGTATGTTTTCGGATCGCGTTGAAACTTGAGGTCTTTGCGTAACTGGAGCTGTAGGCATGTGCGATGACGACCCGGCGGGCGCGTCGGCCGCCCGGTTTACCGTCTGTTGATTGAGGTTCATATTTGCGTATGCGTCATGTAGCATTGTGTTATGACTCTTTTGACAGACTTTGCATCTTTTCGTCGACGTGCATATGTTATCGGTGTGTGCGTACAGACAATTGGGGCAAATATTGTGTTTCTTGACGGCCATTAGCCGCTCGTCCGGTGTAAACTTGATGAATTTGCTGCATTTGTATAGGTAGTGATTATTGTTGCAAATCGGACAAATTGACGAGCATGTCGCAACAGCTTGAAATTCTCTGTTCGGGAATTTTCCATAGCGATGACCACCAGAATGAGGCTTATATGGTTTGTTGTTGATGATTTTCGGAGGATAAGATCTATTTGATGATGTTGAGATCTCTCGTTCCTTTTTACCTATTGGCTCTAAGGCGTCGAATTTGCTCTCTAGGAAGTCCATTAGCTCAGAAAGCGATGGTATGTCTCGCGGCGATTTTCGTGCCTCTTTGTAGTCGCTGTATATTTCAGCATCTAGCTTCTTCGCTATGAGGTGTACTAGCAACGGATCCCAGGTACTTGTATCGATACCGAGGTACTGTATGGCGTGGATACATTCCATGGACGTGTCGTAAAGGCGTCTGATCTCGTACGCTGATTGCTTGTGAGCGACGGGTTGATTGAGAAAAATCTCAATCTGTTTTGTAAAAACAGCTGGGGGTTGTTATATCTGTGTGTCAGCAATTCCCACGCTGTATTGTAGTTGTCTGCCGAGATTTTTAGATGCTGAATAAGTCGCTCAGCATCTCCTCATAGTTTACCTTTCAGGTGCTGCATCTTCTGGGTTTTCGTGAGCAAGTTATTGTTATGGATGCTTTCTACGTAGAGATCATAGAATGTAGGCCATTGTGTATACTTGCCCGTGAATGTAGGTATGTCGATATGTGGTGTCGACTGCTGAAGATGTAATGTAGACGCGAGCTTGAGATTCAAAGCCTTCTTGATGCTCTTGTACGATTCTTCGTAAGTATAAAACTCATCGTCATACTGCGTATCCGAACCTTGGAGAATGTGATCGATTTGTAAATGCAAAGCGTCGATTGCAGCCCAGCGCGTTTGAATGTTACGCAATTCATCTTCCAGCTCCCACTTGTCGCGTATCTCGTCAAGTCGCAAGCTATTCACCTGTCGATGGAAAGCTCTGAAGTTGGTTCTTTGCAGAGATTCCAATTCATTTGCCTGGCGACGATCTGTAGGCGAGACCGTTGTTGCATTTGACGTCAATGGCAGAGTGACTCTCGGCTGTAGTTTAGGTGGAGCCGTAGATGGAGTCGGCTCCGGTGTCGATACGATCTTAGGCAGCGCTTCTGGTGCAGGAGAAACAGGTTCACGTGCAGGGGGGCAGGTCGATATCTTGATGCGCACAGTATCAAAGTACGTTCTTGCTTGTTGGTACTGATTTTCCGTAAAGTAAGGATCAGCGTCATTCTCATAGTCGGATAACTTATGGTTGTTTACTTGGAACTCGGCCCACAGTTTATCAAGGGCATCGAGTGGCTCGTTCAAATACTTACGAGTCTTGCGTGTTGCGGAATCCTTGCTGAAGTTTCTTTCTATCTTCTTGATCGCTTCAACAATCTCCTGTTGGCGCTGAAGTAGACTCTCCATTATGCTTGTTCACTGTGTGACACTCCGAGGACGAAAAAAGGTACACTCTAAGTTCACTGCTCACAGAGTCTTAGCACTGTTCACTGTGTCGAATGTCGACGACAACTGTCCACTTTGATAGCAGCTGTAGCAGATGTTTTTCCAGCGGTCCAGGTATATCTTCGCGAACCTAGTATGACCTTTTTTGCGCCTTTTCAATTGAACTGGTGGGAACTTCAATTGAACCGCTTCTGGGAAGCCAGTCAACCGATTCGCAGTCGCACAAAATCCACAAAGAAAATAAAGTGACGTAAGCATAGGAACCACTGTACCTGTATTTTCCAAATGTCGATGGAAATCCACAGATGTGATCTTGTCTTTTCGAAGGACCAAAAACACTGTAAGGTTTATACAGTATATAAGATGAATGAGTGCAGATGGGATGCAAGGGAAAGTTAGTGTACGAAACAAACCCAATGAAAGTCGATCTAACACTGAATTTATTGTAAAGAATTATAAATTGATGTATAGGCAAAAGTACGGAAGTTACATGATTTCGCAAGTGACAAATGCATTGTTTCTGCGTGACCGAAATAAACGAGTCATTGAATTAAAATTACATAAAATATGTGCGGTAACCCTTACAGAGACAAACTACAAAACTACAAGCATTATCAAAATGCACTCGAACATTTAAAATTGTCTTTTTAGTTGGTCAGCGTAGTAGGTTTTTTTAGGGTTCCGTAGTAACACAACAATGAACGCTTATAGTTTCGCCAAGTTCAACAATCTGTCGGTTTGTCCGCCGCTTAATACAGAGACTTTTAAAGAGGCATGGTTAAACATGAATACCCGAAGTAAATAGGCTCTAAGGCCTAATTGAGGGAGGGCAGGAGGTGCTCTTCAATCCAGGTAAGACACATCATTATATTTAGTTAGCGGAAGGTTGCAAAGTAATAAATATTGTTATTAAATAGGCTATAAGTACCAAAAACGAAAAGTGGAGGAACTTATATTTTAAATAAAAAGCCCTCATCACAAAGAAAAATAGTTTTAATATCGACATTTATATTTAAAATAATTAAAGTGGTAGAGCCACGCTGCAGTTATATTAGTAGTATAGTTGTAGCACGAATGGGTCGGCTCGACCGGGGAAGGACCACGCTCTCACAGAATACCAGCGTGAAATATTAGCTTAATGCTGCTGTGATTCACATGGTGAGTGTAGAGAACCGGAGACCCTTTTTTACTGGAAACGAGGTATTCCATCTTAGTCCTCACGGGTGACAACGCATCTGTATTTTGATTTGTAGTCGAGGATAGATGTAGATGTCTATGGGCAGCAACCACTTACCATGCTCTTTCCCTTTCTATTTTTGTGAAAAAAAATATTATATATACATAAACATATATATAAATAATATATATATATATATATATATATATATATATATATATATATTAAATCGTCTATTTTAAAACGGTATTCAAAGAAAAAAGTTAAGTTTGCAAGAAGTACTAGATTCGCTGATAGCGACATCTTTGATAAATAAATAAATAAAACAAACAGGTCGTAGAAAAGATAGGAATAGAAAAGATAGGAAGCATGCCAACTTTTAAAGAGACAATTAATAGAAACTTAAAAGTAACATTGGAAAACTGCTCTAAACTAAATATTTTATTTTACTTTATTATTTTTTAAAAACTTAAAGCTAACATCAACAGTAAATAAAAGAATAACAACTAGAAGGCCGTTTTAAAGTTTTCACATATAACAATAATTCTAGTCAGTAGTAGATAAACATAGATTGAAATATACAGTAAATTAACAAAATTAAACAAAAGAGCACTCAACAAAAGAATTTTTGGTTTAAACAAATCCAAGTCAATGCTACTGGAAATGTTGTTAGAAGTTCTACAAGCAAGTTTCATAAAAGAATTATGCCTATATTTAGTCCGGGTGTACGGCACGTGGAATAAGCGAGGCTTTCTTAATTGGGAAACTCTTGATGTAAATCCTAACTTACTTAGTAGCTCCGGACAATCAATATAACCATTTGTCAATTTAAAAAGATAAATCATATCTGCTATATACCTACGTTCGTACAGAGGCATATATGAAATTTTTTTACACCGCAAAATGTAATTATCGTTGTAAAATTACGTCTTAAATTGCAAAAAACGCAGGAAACGCTTTTGTACTTGCTCATTCCTATCTATATAAATGAAAATAATATTCTAAATACTATTCCCCAAAGTTAAGATGTTTCGCCCTAATAATTGTGCCGCCCCATATCGCTGTGTAAGTAAAAGTTTTTCCTATGCCTAATTACATTCAAACAGATTCAAGATGTTTGTTACTCCTTCACACGATAACGACTGAACAGGAAAATTAAAAAGTTAACAGGAACTTTTTAGTTTTCCCTTATCCACGTGGACACAATACGCATCTTTTAGATAAGAAGTAAAATAAGTAAATATATTTTTAATATAATAATTAAAGGAAGTTTTAGTATAGACGTATCAATAGTTAATTTTTTTTGTTGAATTTATTTAATCTAAGGACGTAAATTGTTCATTCACACTATTATTATAATAATAGGTATTCTTCTTTAGTTGAGCGTTTGATGATAAATTTTAATGCTTCTACAATGAATAATAATGAAAAATTATCCATATCGATCCGCACATCACAGTCCCATCACACATCAATGTGATATCATTTCCAATTAAACACTTAAGTAGTCTTGTTACACTTTTCTTGTTTATATGTTGCAAAGAGTGCCGTTGTACTTGCGTGTTCAATTTTAAACCTAATTTGTAACATCCAAGGGTTGACTTTAAAAAAAATAAACATATAAGTAACTAATCTCGTGGGGAGTGTGCTTGTCGTATTTCGATTATCACTACGATGTTTATGAAATATTATGTACTCGATTATCCTATCGGTAAAGTTCTCGATTATTACTTATGATATTATTTTAAATGATTATAATAGAAAGAAAGCATATATAAAAGCACAATAAAAATACTTACATATGGAATGTAACTCCATCTTTTTGTAAACTTGAAGTATCAGACTTCTTTTTGCACACTTTAACCGTACAAATCCGCATTTTTTTAAGAGCATCTACAACGACGGAAACGATTCTTGTAATGACGAAATCGATTCCGTAAACAGTTTTTTATAAACGCACAAGGTTTTTAAACCCAATACTTGTGCAGAGGGGAATCATCACGCGAGGCGAGTCTATTGGGTTCATTGGGTTGAATGGTCTAAGCTTCCGAAGCTGCAATGCGCCGAATACCAGCTAGTTAGTTATAATAGTATACGTTCTCCTTGCCATAAATACTAGTAAAAAATCTATCCTTGAATGTAGTCCAATTATTTATTTTGGCAATAAGATACTGTGTAAGTGTAACAGCCTGGCCACGGTATATTCGCCGTAGCGAAAAATCGCGCGGCACGAACGGCAAGGCGTCTAGCGACTAAAACAAATGTATAGTTGTATAGAAATGTATGGATAAAGCCACGCGTAGCGGCGAGTGGCGACGTGACCGGCGAAATTTACCGGGCGAATCGCACGGGCGACTGGCCACGCGGCGGGCGACTAAAACAAATGTATGAATCGGTACGGAGCAAGCAACGGAGTCGGGCGGCAGACCGGAGTCCGGAGCTACTAAGTAAGTTAGGATTTACATCAAGAGTTCCCCAATTAAGAAAGCCTCGCTCATTCCACGTGCCGTATGGTCTAAGCTTCCGAAGCTGCAATGCGCCGAATACCAGCTAGTTAGTTATAATAGTATACGTTCTCCTTGCCATAAATACCAGTAAAAAATCTATCTTTGAATGTAGTCCAATTATTTATTTTGGCAATAAGATACTGTGTAAGTGTAACAGCCTGGCCACGGTATATTCGCCGTAGCGAAAAATCGCACGGCACGAACGGCAAGGCGTCTAGCGACTAAAACAAATGTATAGAAATGTATGGATAAAGCCACGCGTAGCGGCGAGTGGCGACGTGACCGGCGAAATTTACCGGGCGAATCGCACGGGCGGCTGGCCACGCGGCGGGCGACTAAAACAAATGTATGCATCAGTACGGAGCAAGCAACGGAGTCGGGCGGCAGACCGGAGTCCGGAGCTACTAAGTAAGTTAGGATTTACATCAAGAGTTCCCCAATTAAGAAAGCCTCGCTCATTCCACGTGCCGTATGGTCTAAGCTTCCGAAGCTGCAATGCGCCGAATACCAGCTAGTTAGTTATAATAGTATACGTTCTCCTTGCCATAAATACCAGTAAAAAAATCTATCTTTGAATGTAGTCCAATTATTTATTTTGGCAATAAGATACTGTGTAAGTGTAACAGCCTGGCCACGGTATATTCGCCGTAGCGAAAAATCGCGCGGCACGAACGGCGAGGCGTCTAGCGACTAAAACAAATGTATAGAAATGTATGGATAAAGCCGCGCGTAGCGGCGAGTGGCGACGTGACCGGCGAAATTTACCGGGCGAATCGCACGGGCGACTGGCCACGCGGCGGGCGACTAAAACAAATGTATGAATCAGTACGGAGCAAGCAAAGGAGTCGGGCGGCAAACGTGGCGAAAACCGGCGAATAGTATAGGGAACAAAATATTTTATTTGTTTTAGCCGCGAAAAATGCCGGGCCGACAAAAAAAACTTAAAATTCTATCCGCATTCACTTTTATCTCCAATTCTGGTTGAATATTAACAAGAATATAATCGCAGGTTTCGACACTCATTCTGGTATTTACTCTAAATTTGTTTCTAGATGCATTCTATTTGTTGTGGAATTCTCCATTTATAACCCGATTCCTATTCAAATCAATGTACTCCGCAATCTTTTCCAAATATTATGTCTTGAATCAATAAATAATTACTTTCTAAGCAATATCGAGATAACTTTGATAAAGACATTTCACTCTCGGCCTATCTGGGCGCGGCGGCAAACGTGACTTCCCGTGGCCCTAAAATCGCGCCGCGCGAATTATCGCCCCGCCTGTCGCTTCGCCGTTCGTGCCGCCGTTCCCCGTGGTCAGGCCGTAAGTGTTAATAAGTTACTGAAGCGCGAATAGAAATTTTATGAACAGATACCTACACCGTTACTTCGTCGTTATTTGGATTAGTATTTCATAGTTTTTAGAATTCGTTGTTTTCTTATAATTGCGCAATTAATGCCTGATTCATATATCTAAAAGAAAACGTTAATACTTCCCTACGTTCCGTTTTATTACATACAAAAAAAAAACAGTTTATATTACAAAATATTTGTTCAGCAACTTATGATGACTTAAATTAAAAAAATACTAAACAGTTCATAAAAAGATGAACTGGCATTTTTTTTTAAAAAAGAATTATCAACTATCATGCACTTTCTTATTCCCATCACGTTCAGGCATTTACTGCAAAACGGCTCGTAAAAGAAAACGAAACGATTCAAATTATAGAAACCTGGTATAAGTCACTACTAATGAAAGCAATAATTAAGAGCGTATAATTACCTGTCATTGGGGACCTTAGCACAGCTTGACTTGCTAATGCCAAACTTTTGTTGAGATCGCCTTGTTTTAGTGCTGCTTCGGCCTCCTTAAGCTTCTCTTGCGAAATCTTTGCATCTTTGCTACGATACAGTGGCTGAATTCTAGAGAAAACTTCTTGCAGCCCCTGCATTATCTTAAATCCGAAAAATACTTTTTAGATAGAACATAATTACAGTCCTTTAAAATAAGATAGTTTTTTGATCTAAGATTTTAATCTAATGTATCCTCTAATTAACGTGACGACGAATTGCGAGTAATAAATACTTTCAAAGAGCAATTGCAGGCAGAGAGGCCTATGTTCAGCAATGGACATTTGATAGTATGTGTTCAACGTAATTTAGTTTGCGTCATTGATAACAGATGGCGTTGTGCGGTGTTTGTGTCGCGATGTGGTACAAATAAGGAGCACAATCGCGTTAACAAAAAAAATCCAAACCTTTAAATGTTCCAACTTGAAAGCCTTGTTGGAAGAAAAATACTTGCATAGAACATTAATCCGTAACTGTGTACAAAAAAGAGCACAATCGCGCTTACAAAAAAAACTTCCAAACCTTTAAAAGTTCCAACTTTTAAGCCTTTTTGGAAGAAAAATACTTGGAAAGAACATTGATTGGTAACTAATCCTTTAAAGTAAATATTCCTTGATAGGAAATTGATCCGTAACAAAATATATATAAGGAGGAGAATCGCGTCGAGTTGTCGACAGTGCGAGAATATTCAAATTCTTTTAAAAAAAGTACAAGTCAAATACTTTTAAAAAGTCTTACAAGTATTTTGGGTCAGCACTTAGTCGGCGTGCCTGCAAGTAAATACCTGGTACAAAAACCTGATTGCATAAATACGCACCTTCCCTAATCATCGATATTTCTGCAACATCGATATATAGAAATATCGACATCCTTTTTTTTATCCTCCTCAAAACATCGATGTTGAACATTATCGATGTTTTTGCACATGTTGTTTTTTGGTAAGAAATAGATGAATAAAAAATAGACATGTTGGACCATGAGCATGTCCAAGCTAATGGTCCCCCGGTCCATGGTCCTTCGAGCCGGATAGGAGGGCCACAGAGAGAGCTCAAACAATATGTAATGAATAAATAATGAATTGCAACACTATGATAGATCTAATAATTACCAGACACAAGGAGGTCGTTAACGTTTTTCGAGTATGTTTTCTTGTATCTGTAACTTTAATGCCATGAAAGGTTTTGGAGTGCTAGGAGCCGTTACATTGGACGTTATCTCTAAATAGGCATATTATAAACGGCACTCTTAAAAAAATATGGCGTTTGTTTAAAGTGCATTTTTAATATTTCTTTTCCTCATACAAAACAATAACATGTTGTTGTAAAAATATTGAATGTCAAACACATTGAAACTATTTCTCCGAGGTTTTATACGTGAAATACTATTAGTGTGCTGCAAGGTGAGCTTCGTCAGTTGTTTATGAACATAATATGTAAAGTGTATTGAGTAGGTGAGTGTTTGAGTCGGTCGGATCTCTCCGGAGATGAAGCAATTTCCTACCCATAACAACTAAAATTGCGCTTGCACAATCACTCCTTTTCCAATTCTCGATTATGCTGACACGTGTTATCGCAATTTAAAGTTGTTTAATAAACTAGAGTGCATTTAGAACCTATGTATACGGTTCATATTTGGACTTAATATGACCATGTTTCCGAAATTCGCGAAAATCCCAATTCGCTTCCCATCTGTCTTCAAGTCTTCTCAAGAATTCTCACATTCTTTCTGTTTTATGTAGTGTTCTATTCAATCCCACTTCTTCTGCTTACCTCAAAGAGTGTTTTGAGTTTCTAGGTAACACTCACTGTTGCTTTCCTTGCTCTAATAAAAACCTCACAATAAAAGCTTTATCCCATAACACTTCCTTCTATTCTAAATCCCTTTCTATTGAATTGGCTCTGGAACTACTTACCGCTGTACATTAGAAGTGCGTAATCTATTGAAATGTTAAAAAACTTGCCAAAGCTCACTTCTTTCCTACTTAAAAAGTCATTCCTATATCTCTCCTGATTATGTTCATTTAAAAACTACTACCTACTTATTTTTATTACATTAAGGCTTTTACTTCACTTACTTGTTTATTCCTTACTGCTCTTTTTTTCTCTGCTTTATAATTAAAATGTATTTATTTATTATATTACGTACTTATTTATCGAGTATATAATTATATTTATATCGATAGAGTTATGGTGTATATTTTCCAACAACTTACGTATGTACACCCTTACCCTTTCTCACAGGTCAATATATCCTCTACAATGGTTGCCTGGTAGAGATCGCTTCTAAGTGATAACGCCGCTGAATATTATACCTTTAAATAATTTGTTGTTGTTTTTTCTCTCTTATATATTTCTGGTGTACAATTATAGGTTTAAAGAAATTTATTTTCAAAAAAAAACGTATATTTCATTCATTCATTCAACATATATGAATACTTGAGGTACAATGTTTCTGTCAGGATTTTAAGACCGTGTTCACATTTCACATTTAACTATTTCATATATTTTCCATACATGATTTTTTCTAGTTTAGAAAGATTAAAATGTTGTTGACTATATTCGTTTGAACAATACCAAAAATGTGGAAGTGGTTAGAAAAGAACATGACCTCATTGTCGGTCCGGTCCAACTGTATTAAGACGCAACGGCTGCTCTTTTTAAAATATCTATAAGTTACACTAGAGAAATGCTTAAAGCGAGTCACAGACTACGCAGATACGATAATGTTTTATATGCGTATAAAAACTTAATTATCTGAATATATCTACGCAGATAAGATAATATACGAAATGATACATCATAGATTACTGAATAACATTCACTCGAAATCCTTCAAACTTACTAGACGTGTTTTTTGGAGCGGATTGTTTACTTGTTTACGTGTTACTTACAAATGACTTAGTGTATATTGCTTCTAGATTAGCTAGACAGCTCGTCAAAATAGGATTCAGATTTTGATTTTGATGCACGTGTTGCATTTATTTTATTATTTATTTTGAACGACCATTCTGAATTTATCTGCAGCTGAAATCATATACCTTATTTGTATCTGCAGAATATATCTGCAGATATTATATTGTCACTATTTTTCGATGTTGGCGCTAACAGATACTTAACGCTAAAATATAAATTATCTCCGCTGTGTGTGTTAGTTCAATGAATTTCATAGTGAGCGATATTGAAATATTTGCGCTCAGATACAGACAGACATCTTATCGAATCTGCGTAATGTGTGATACGCTTTAGTGTTTAAAACATTACATACCATTTTGTTTTCCATCACCGCTGTCACTTTGTGCACATCTTCGACCTTTTCGAATGATTGCAACCAGTTGTCTTCTTCAGCAATGGAAATGATTTCATCACTAAAGTTTTTGAAAAAGCCGACGGTGTTAGAGCATAGTGTAATGTTACTACAATTAGCTGCATAGGCTGGGTCCACGTCTTCATAAATGCGGGACATTTTCTGTAACGCAACATATTGGATTAATTTATTAATTAAATAATAAATATTAATATGTATTTAAAAAAATGTGTTTTATATATAAAATTGATTACGAATGATATAATTGAATTTTACGTAATGATTTTTTGTATCTACGCGAACACTACACATTGAAATAATACTAGTTTTTACAGATTTTATCGCGTATGACGACGATTTCAACGGAGAAGATGGCTGGGTGCTACCATCTGCTTGGGATCCTACTCCTATAATAAATTAAATTAAATCCCAACCCAAGCATACAACTGCAAGACTTCAAGATACCATAAGTTCACACTGTGTAGATCAGAACAAAAGTTAAATTTTAATCTATGGTAACCGCGGTTAACTATGACATCTAGACGTTGAACATCTCAGTCCCCCCGTGACCATGGGTGCTGTAAAGTTCTCGAAACGTCAGCTATGTATTAAAAGTTAAATATACGCGATAAAATCCGTAAAAACTTGTATTATTTCAATAATTGAAGTTAATATTTTGAAAAAAAAAAATCTTTTGTTTATTAGTTTCAAATAATTGTTAATTTTTGTTGCATAGTTATTATAATTAATACAAAGCAGAATATATACCAAACATTTTAGTGCTTTTTGTAAACACTATTTTTATTAATTCTGATTGAAAATATGGGTACTACTACTACAACTTGCCAGCTTTAGCAACTTTAAGCGAGCTGACAATCGTACCAGGGTTGTAGGATTATCGTACATGGACCAAAATTAACGTACTTATCAAAATAATTTCTATTATAAATAAATGTAATACTGGTATATATGCAAGTACCCTATAGGCGAAAAAATGCACCTCTCTTCATCAAATAGTATAGAACTATGACACCACTAACGAAACTGGAATTTTGATATAGATAAATCCATGTCTTTATCTTGAATTTGCTTGTTCAAAAACACGATTGTATAATTTTGACTCTATCATAATCATAATTATTTGCGAAAAATCTCTATAGTTGAAATCACAACGAAATTACTTAATATATATGCTTGAGAATCACTCAAATATATAACATCAATATTTGTAATTTCTTTGCTCATTATTTTGATTACTTAAATCAATAATTTTTTTTCAAAATATTTTAATATTCTGAAAATTTCTAAGACGCTACGCAATTTTAGAGCTTAAAAAAGTAAAGTAGAGTAAAGTAAAGTTACAGTCTATATACGTCCCACTGCTGGGCTCAGGCCTCCCCTCATTTCTGAGAGGGTTTAGGGCAAGGAAGTGTCCGCCGCGCTGCCCAAATGCGTGTTGACGAACTTCACATGTCTTCGAAATATTTTTTTCTTATTTCTCAGACATGCAGGTTTCCTCACGATGTTTTCCTTCACCGCCGAGCACGTGGTAAATCAGCACTTAAAATTGCAATTAACAATTTCATTGGTGCTGGCGGGGATCGAACCCGGGTTACTCGCGTTCTGTTATATTTACAGCGAGCGTTAACCACTGAGCTACCACGGCTCTTAATCTATGGTCGGCTTCTTTTTAGAGCTTATGTTCATATATTTTTAAGTTTTTTTATAGAAATTATGTATTCACTCGGATCAGTCCAGCGATAGACCGGGGCCATTTTAAACGTTCATTTTCGATGAGACGACTTTTAAGGGACCGCTTTCACATCAACAGAACAAATGTTTTACGCATGGTACAAACCTGCACAGACTAAAAGTTTTCAAGAATAATAATCAACCGACAACTCGTGATAATATTTCGATGTTTAGTGACAGCTGGCACTATTACTATCAAGATGATGTTGTGACGAGGATTAAGAAAGGAATGCTTCGGTGGTTTGTTTATGTAGAAAGAATGAAGGAGAGAAGAGTGATAAAGCAAATTGCAGATGTGAACGGCAGAGTCGGGAAGAGACGCCCTAGAAGAAGGTTCATCGACCAAATTGGCGAATTTGAAAATGGGCTTCATTAGGAGTACCACAAACCAACGAGCGTGTGTGTGTAGACATATGGGTGTAAAGGAGGCGATAGCGGTATGTTAGGATCGTGCCAAATGGAAGTCCGTAGTCTCTGCCTCTGTACTCTGGGTGACTGGCGTGAGTGTTTATAGATAATATACAATCCGACGAACTATAAGTGGACAGAAAGTATTAGATTGCGCTATATAAACAAGTGTATTTCGATTTTAGTTTGGTTACATATTCATTGATTATTATTCATTTACCAACTTTAAAGTAACAATACCTAGTATTAGCTACTCAACGTTTGTTTTGAAAAAAAAACGCGAACGAAGTTATCTGAGAGTAAAATTATTCGATTGTTAGTAACTCTTGAGTAACATGTTATTTTGTCGAATCCGCCCTTAGGCTATCAGCGTATAAGTTAAAAAAATTCTCAAATTTTACATCATAATGGAAATTATCGTACTATCTTCGTACGATAATAATGTGCTAAGTATACATCGTACGTGGGCACGAAATTATCGTATGTGTACTTTAATTATCGTACGTTTCTGAACGCTGATACTTGCCCGAATAAAAAAGAATACACGGTCTTCAAAGAATGGTTGTATAACCTTCGAGCATATAATTAGATCTAAGCGCCCGTAGCAACGATGAAAGACAACAACAGTGTGATTTGTCTGATACTACGATCGTCAATTTGCCTGCTTAGGGTGACAATTATGGTATATCCAATCTAAAACTAACATGTCTCTTTGGGCGGTTATAGGCCGATAATTAGGAAGAAGAAGAATATACTAGATTTTTGTTAATGATATATATATTCAATACAAATATTGATCTTCATTTGGTGAGATAAAAAATAACTATAGATGTTTCCTATTCAGATCTCAGAAGTACACGTGTTCTAGTCGTCTATGTTTTAGATGTGATAACTTTCTTTACATACCGTTACAACCAATTAAAGCCATCTGTTGAACATAGGCCTAAGGGATTCCCCTATTATGCAACCTATGGAAGAGGCTATATTTGTCATAGTTGCCACGCTTGACAAGCGGGTTTAGTTAGTTTATTTTTAGTCGTTATTAGGAAGTCGGTGTTGCCAATCTATTGATTTGTCTCCCTCTGTCGCCTCTCACGATACCCACGGGATGATATGAGGTAGGAGATATTCTTACACCGCCACTTCTTGCAATAATAGGTATACTTATCACAATGAAAGAAAAGTTATAATAGAGAACTTAGTTACACACTCACTGAATTTAGCGAATGACGCGTTTCCAGTGGTTTAAATGTCGAGTGTTACGAACTCATACCCTCTAATAGTTCAGGCGTTCTGTGTTTTGTTTTGCAATGAATAGACACATCCGCATCAATGGAATACTTGTGTAGAAACATAACCTATTCCTGTAGTATTACCTCGATTAGGTTTAATAGTAAGTAATTATTATATATTTAGAAATCTTAGTGTAAGAATAGTTAGAATCAGCTGAGCTGATTCTAATAGTTATCTTCTTGTAGATTTGAAATATGTATTTTTTTCTAACCACATTATTATCTTCTTAGTATAAAGGACGTGGATGTGATCAGATTTGGAAATAAAAAAAACACAATCTAATAATGAAGTGTATTCACTATTGTTAAACAAAACAACGCTAAATTTGTAGTTTCAAAGCCTGTAAGATAATTATTATTTATTACGAATAACTATTATGTTCTTACTAATTTTATCATAAGATGATATTAAGAATAGAATTTTTTTAACTTTTTTTTTTACTTTCCCTTTTCCATTTCTTGTGACACATAACTTACATATATTATATTCGACATAATATGATGTATAATGTAATATATCGGACATAAAATATTATTTTATAAACAAGTATGTGATAATAGTATAAACACTACTCACATAATATGCACTTTAATTCATTACATTATTGTTTCAGTTTATATCTACAGCTTGAAATTTGCAAAATACACTAGCAGCTTTTACATAATAATAATTAAAATAATGTTTTTAAAAAATACTTCTAGCGCAGGTAATGCAGTATGACTGAGCAGGAAGATTATCAGTTTTAGTACATACAATACAATAGGTTAACTAAACAAAACGTATTACCTCATAAGAAGAAAATCAAATATTTGTCTTGGGACTGATTTTTCGATCAACATATAATATATTGTTCATAGGATATATAATACATAATATTGGTTTTTTAATTGTTTCAATTTCGTATTCAAACAGGTTCCTATATACTTGATGGAAAACTTTTGCCCGATGATTGAAAAATCAACCCTTAATTAAATAACTAAATTTTTTTTGGGTTCGCGGCAAACTTTCCGAGTAAAAAGTAATAAAATCACGTTACCTTCGATAAATATTTACTAGATGCAAGTGATCACCGGTGCGTGTGGAACCGGCCGGCGGCGCGCGCGTTAGTTGATGCTAAAATTAAACGCTCGCCTGTTAAAATTACTTGCTGAAATTGACTGCTCCATTTATGAAACGATCTCTTTTAAAATAACGCCACCTATTGCTGCCTTTTGGATCTAAGAAATATTAACAAGAAATAATATAAGGGAACATTCTACACTTTGATTATGATATAATTTACAAACATTTCAGTTACTGTCCCGAAACTACGAAAGCGTGATATATTTTATGGTAAAAGGTTGTACATTGTATTTCTACAGTTTATGTAAAAAATATATTTTATTTCTAGAGTTTTCAATAAATATGATGTACATTTTAGGACCATGTTGTTCTGGAAAATTATATCTCACGTTTACGTGGGAGTTGTAACAAAAAATTCCAACTATAGTACTCGCCGAAATAAAGTAAAAGGTTTATTTGACTTTGTGATTAGGATATGGGCTAAACGTAGCCTTAGTAGCTCAGGGGGTTCCACAGTACCCAAGCCACCCAGGTTCGATCCCCGCCGGGACCATTGAAATAGTTAATTGCAGTTTATAGTTCTCGGCGGTGAAGGAAAACATCGTGATAAAACTTGCATGTCTGAGAAATAAAATTTTTTTTCC